GGATTTTGGTATTAAACAAAAAAAAAGAAACTAGTTACTTTAAAGCAATGTTCTTTAATCAAAATAATNACAAATGAGTAATCCTGTAAACGTAAACAGAATATTTTATATAGATTTTTTTTAATGAAAACTTAAAATCCTGCATTATTTTCCGGACAACCCAATACTTGTAGTAATGTAAATTTAAATATTTTCTGATGTTGCTCCTTGATCGATGTGGCTCAGATGATGAATCCCTTCATACTTGAATACTTAAATCCTATCTGACAGACCGGTAGTGTCCCATCCTTTTAGACAGACTTTTTCTTTTATTCTGTTTCTTTCCAAGGGAGCATCTTAGGGCCCTTCTTATCTCCAGCAATATTATACGTTCTTTGGCTAACGACACAGTAATCTTGTCTGATCTGATGCTAATTTCAGCTAACTTTTGGATTATTATTTTATGATCAGCAGAGTAAAACAGCTCCTGAATGTCAAAAAAACCTACCACCTTTCTTTACCATGCAATTCTTGAGCAATCAGATTAGTAACTTCAAATAGGGCTTTTCTCCTGATTTTTCTAGGAAGAAAACAAAAATGAATATAAGAAATTAATTTAATTTTACAAAGAAATTTATATAATGACTTATGAAACATTTTTTTCAAGATATGTGTAATGGATAGAGACAAAGAAATAAGTCGTAACTTACTGTTATCTAATTTCTATTCACTTTTGAATAATGGTGAAACAAGTGTTTTTTAAAATCTGTTGGGAATATCCCCAGTGAAAGAGAATATGAACAAATTAAATTTAAATGACAGATTAAAAGAAAAATATGAAGAAAGGGAGGAATGATATAGGTTGAAATCCATTTAAGTAGACTGTTTGTTAAACAATTATCAAAATTAATTGGATGCAACTCAAAGGAATTTGCATCGGTTAATAAATTATATTATGGGGCATATTTTTTAATGAATTATTCTCGGTAAGTTAAAATCGCAAACATTTTACATAACACGCACATGTTAATCAGTCATAATTGACCGTTTTAATAATTTTAATTAATTATACTTTTTATTTAAGGTCTTGGTTGAGATGAAAAAGTTATCGTCACGAACGGGATTTAACATATCGTTATTATCATATCGATTAGGTTTCGTGGTCTGATTGACCAATTAAATTCTTTTCAATTAATTAATCTTTAAGTATGGTATTGGCCTAGATAAAAAAAGTCAGTGCCACGAACGGGATTCGAACCCACGACCTTCGGCTAAATACGCCGCTACTCTACCACTTGAGCTATCGTGACTCGTGGGTTCGAATCCCGCTTGGCACTGACTTTTAATCTCGACCAATACCTTACTTGAAGATTAATTAATTGAAAAGAATTTCCTAATCGATTTACTAAGGAAAATGAAGTATACTTCACTAAAGCTCTCCGTGGCCATTTCATTTGACGCCGAGAATCAAATAGATTACACATTAATTAGATTACATTTGAAAAATGGCACAAAGGAAAATTTGTCATTTTCTTTTATATTTATAGTTTTATAGAATGTTTCTATGTACATTCTGACTTACATGTATTTTTCCTTTCAATATTATCAGTTGGTTTTTTTTTCTATAATATTTACAATTTTTTAATCAAAATCAAACAAGTGGTTAAAATTATATTGACTATTTGCCACACTTGTGTCCGGTCTCGTCTCATTTAGGCATACTTAGTTTTGTTCTTCTTACTTTGATTAATTTGTTTTAGAAATAATTTTTACAGTTTGACTTTCTCTTGTATCACATTGATCACGTTTACTGAAATTATTTTATCAAAAGACAAAGATGTGAATATTGCTCTACAAAGTTTTCCTGTTTAGGTATCGTACTTTTTGTTCGTCTTCTAACAACGAGTAAATCATTGATGACTTTTAGTTTGTTTTGGGAGTTTTATCAATTTAATATGTCGCTATTGACCTTAGTTTGAGAAACGTGATTCGAGAATAAAGCGCATTTCATCAGCATACATCTTTTTTTAAACGATAGCTCTTAATATTTAAGTACCAGAGAATTTCCTTTGATAGTCCCTGAACAACAAACAGTTACGCAATGCTCATATCTAAAGACCGGATTTCTATGCAGTTGCATTGCTGTTTGCAACCAGATACGACCGAGGAAATCAATTATCTATTCGAATCATGTATCTAGGCAGCTGTAGGTTAAATTTTATACAGCATATTTTTGCATATTTGATGAATATCGCATTCAATATGCATTCCAACCCGACATACTTACAAATGGCCTTTTTTTCATAAACACCGGCACCCCGAGGATTCAAATAACCTCGTGGTTGAAATACCCTCGTTAAAAAAAGAAAAAACACATTAAATACTTGTGAATTTTAATTATTTTTAGTTGCAAAGGGTTTTTATTTTTAATTTATTTCTTTTAATTATTTATATTTCTGTTTATTGTTACTATACCAGTAACAATATTAATACTGCGTTAATACTCCAAAAATTAGTCAGGACGTTAAAAGCATTGACAAATCTGGTCAACGTAAGCAGAAAAGGAACCCCGATGGAGGGGAGAGAACAGAAGTAAAGAGAGAGAGGAGCGTCATTCCAAATACGTTGAGAGTAGCTGGAAGTTGTTTTCCATCCTTTGTTAAGTTTCTACTTTTCTAATTTCTAAAAGAAAAATAATAAATTGTGTGTAAAGTACATTTTTCTAGTAGTTTCTTTTCAGTGAGTTCCGAAATCGAGGAGAGAGAAATCCCGTCTGCGGAGCCCTCAACCCGTTCTTCGCCGAAATATATATATATATATATATATATACACCCTCATTTCAAATGAACGGCTTCCATAATAATTCTACTTAACTTGGTGAAGTGGTTAATTGCGAACGATGAGTTGTCGTCTTATCGTCTAATTATCTCCTTGCCCGGAACAAACTATTTTTTGTTTCACTAAAAATAATAAAATCGATGTGTCATATAAAAATAATTTAATTGCCAACCATTTTATTACATATACATACAATTCAATTTCGAAACAATATATTTACAGTGGTTAGTAGTTGATAAGGAATCGGAAACTATTCAAAATGGTTAAATTTATTGTAATATAAATTACTCCTAAAATTATTTTTACAAATAGAAAAACACATTTAAATTTCAAGGTTTTCATAAATTTACTTATTCGAAGATTGTTACATTTTATCACTTTTTACTAAAATTATTTATTGTACTTTTAAGTGTCTGATGCATATTAAATACATAAGAAAATAATACTGATAAATACGATGTTTTTGAATAACTTGTTAAAAAGCGTTTTTACAATAAATTGGTGAAACTAGCTTTAATAAAGCATACTTTTAGCGTGTGTTATTTAGCAAAATGTAATAATATATATAAAGTGGAAGGTTTATGGGCCGACAAACAGCTGAGGTCATCGCCGGCCCTCCGCNGGTAGTTTCAATGATAGTTGGCACGTGATCGCTGTTATATTCGTCGTTTAAAGTGTTCCATGAGAGGCTAGCGGCAATGGACGGAGAGGCGAAGCTCAAGTCGATCGCACTGAATCTCCCAGTGTAAATACTTATATACGTCGGATTTCCATTGTTAAGTAGCACCATACCGTATTCATCTATAATATCTTCTATACGCTCGCCCCTGGAGTCCGTCGTCTGGACGGCCATCTCCACGGTCGAACCTTTTTTTGGTGCCGACTGTCCGGCAGCCTTCGCATAGCTCATATTTGGCCGTGAAAACGCTGAGCTGCGGACTAGTGCTCTTGCTTCGACATGACTCATGTCTTTTTCTGCCTTTAACCTCTGTATTTCTCTTTCCTCTTTTAGTATTGGGCACGCACTGGACCTTGCATGGTGCGGCCCATCACAATTTACACACCTCGGCGGATCTACACATGGCCGTCCTTCGTGCACCGGCACGCCACACGAGCAAATCGTGTTCTGGCTTCTACATCGAAGTGCTGTGTGGCCAAACTTTAAGCATTTGAAGCATCTTATTGGTGCCGGTACAAATGGACGGACCAATAATCTTTGGTATATAGCCCGTACTTCTCTTGGCATCTCTGGTCTGTCAAATGTTAATATGAGAGACGCTGTATTTATGAGACCCCTGTCCGTTTTTCGTTTTATTCTTTTTACTTCAATCACCCCCTGGCTTGACAGTTCTTCTTTGATTTCCTCCTCAGAGCATATTAGTAAATCTCGTGCTGAGATTACGCCCTGGGAGGAATTCAGCTTTCTGTGGGGGGAGGTTTTAACAGGGGTTGCGCCAAGGTGTTTAGTCTCCATGACCATTTTGGCCTGCAGAGAGTCAGGATTCCTGATGACAATTTCTTTAGGTTTTTAACTTTTCCCATTTGTTGGTTGACTACACGGCAGATCTGGATGTGGGAGTCCTCTTTATAATCCCCCTCTTTTTTTTCCATGATCCAGTATCTTGTGAAATTCTTTGTCATCTGGTCTTCACTATCACTTCCGCTCTTTTCTTTTCTAATTCTTTTCCTTTTTTTGGGCTCCGGCTCAAATGGCTGGAGTGTCCTCACTAATTCGGTGTTACCTTTTCCGTTCCTAGCAGTATCCATACGTTGGGTGGCGCTGCTCTCTCCACCAACTCCAACGGGGCCCGAGTGAATAACGCCGAGGGAGGCCTGTGCCCCCGACGTCACCGGCATTTCGCCTTCCGGATATACGGCGTTTTTTTTTGTATTTTTCGGAGCTTGTTTGTTTTAGGCCAGGGGGAAGCTACCCACCCTGGCCCTAGCCGATTAGTGGGGCTGCCACTATAGGTGAACCGGCACACCTCCCCCTCCTTAAAGCCTGGGACGCCGGGAGAAGGAACAGGGAGGAGGTTAGTGTTGAAGGGGTTATTATAGGAATGGAAGGTTAGGTAATGAGGTTAGTAAGGGGATAAAGTGTTACGGAAGGCCACCAGGTACAGGAGGGGTATTGGACGCAGTTTAACCTCTTGCCCGGGAGGAAAATGTAATAATAAAAAATATAAAAATATTATAATATTATTATTGTAATCATCAAATCCCATTAGTAACTAAAGAGGATTTATATTATTTAACAATGAAAAAAGTGTTTGTTTTGCGTGTGGGTGCTGTAATTTTTTTAGAGTGTTCGTACGTATTTGCTTGTATAAGCGGGTGCTGAGCATTAAAGTGTGCTAGTTCGCAACATCAACCGTAAGAATCACTTATTGTCAATCGACGGACTATTTTAGACATACATATCCAAAGAATGAATCGGCAATTATCTGGATAACTTTTTTTCAGTTATATAATTCCATTTTCAGCAAATTGTCTAATGTCTGCGCCCACTCTAGCTTTGAATCGTTCACTGAGAAAACATTCGTCTTTTGGTGCCACTGTTTGCTCAGATAACAAGCTTTTATCAAGATCATACGCATCACCTGATTCATATGTCATTACAGGATGGAAAAAACAAATAATCATAACTCGAAAAGCTTTAATCCGTTCCATTTCTGCGTTAATTTCTTGGAAGGAAGGTATTTCTTTCTCGTCTACTCCGAACCTCACCAACTCAGACTTAAGACTATCAGCGTATCTTTTGAGAAGTGTATCTTTGTTTTTCCTCCTCACGTCAGCTTCTACGCTTGTATACAAATAGAAGGTCAAATCCCAGGCGAACGAGTTAATGTGGCACAATTGGTAATCTACAAATCTATAAGAAACAAATGTAAACATCCAATTTCAATTAATTAATTTTTCAAACGTACTTGAGAGCAATCGGTTTATCTTCGTAGACGCTGTACTTGAACATCATGTTGCACGTCCAAACATCCCCATGGTTGAGAACGTAATACTTCTTATCGCAATTTTCATTATCATTTATTAAATCATTTATTATTTTTTCTGGACAATTAACCAATCTTTTACCTAAATTTTCCCTGAAAGGATAATGATAAAAGAAAATCTCAAATAAAACATTTTAATTAATTAAATATGAAAAATATGCCAAGTTAAAGAGTGAATTAAATTAGTTTTTTGTCGGTAATGTATATATGGTTAACAAATACCGCATTACATACATTTGTCAATAAAAAACTTAAAGAATTAAAAAATTCTCTTTCATTTTGTTACATTGGCGTCCGTTTTCAGATTGTAATTAAAGAAAGATATCAAAAAAATTAAATTATACCCCCTTTTTTTAAATTTTGTAAATTGTTTTTCTACTCCATTTCTACAGGTAGGTTATCAATACTTCTTTTTTCAAATAAAACTCAGAGAAAACTGGCAAACGATGTGTCGCTCTCGAGATACAGAGTCATAGTAAGAAAATATTACAAGGGAGCGATAGTTAATCCTCTGTCCCCTCTGCCGTAAACATACCACTTAAATGGATATACGATTAATTAAATTGCATGAAATTGGTTAAACTTACGTGCTTTATACATAATATCCAACAGAATAATATAGGAGAGGAACGAATTTTACTTCCTATAAAACGATTAGAGAAAAATTGGCTTTTAATAAATATTTACTTGCAAGGAAAAAACAGTAAAAATACGAAACCTTGAAAGTAAGAATTTAAGGAAAATTACTTTTGGGTAAAGAAAACAACGATACATTGGTCTTGGTAAGTATAGAGACAATTCGTACAACCCCGGCTTTGCCGGTATATGTCTTGAGGCCACTCATCCAATCGGCCAAGTGAGCCGTATTTACGATTTGCATGAATACTATATCCTGCAAAAACGGGGAAACTGCCACCTTCGTCTCTGAATCAAGTTATTTAGATACTCCATGGACGAACAATACCGAAACGATTGAAATGCCTGCTTGATAAGGTGCAGCGAGTCAAAGGGGAGGTTGGTTTCAACAGATGCCTTTTGGAGGAGATAGTATGGGAGCACCAACAAGGAAATGAGCTGGACTTAGTAAATCTGAATCATCATTTTCAGCGCATAACAGTCTTCTTGCTCGTGAAACATTAATTTTTTTACAGTTGTTTTTATGGGTGGCAATTTGCACTAGATTTAAGCGCGCTTTAATAAGCGTGGTGAAAAACAAAGAACGACATATAATCTTTGGTGTGGAAAACAAAGAAATGACGTCCAGGTAATAACATTTCTGGCTGGTTACGATGTCTCCGTAACGCCACTGCAGCAATACTTCTCATGTTATTGTGACATACCAGGCTCTCCTAAACAGTAGCGTCGAAAGAATTAAAGAAGGACTCTCAGGCCAGGGATTGAAGGAGGAGAGGAGGAAGAAAACGCGCTGAAATGGGTAACTTGTCCCTTAGGTGACCCTAGTTCTCGCCTTTCATGTCCTAATTGACAGACGAAATAAGGGTTAATTTTGATAGATTAAGGCTGTTAAGGGGAAACCTCGATGAAAACAACTTGGTTCGAACTACCTCAGATATGTCTGCCCAAATCATAATACCACCACCTTCAAAGCTTTTCCAGAGTGAAAATGTTGCGGGGAGGGAATACCGCTCTGCTGTTCTCAGAACATTCTCTACCGTCAGAAGACCTAAAAAAAAATCTTGACTCATCCGTAAACAATATTAAGATTTTAGTCCAGTCTTGCACAAATTGATGAGATTTCTTTCGAAATTTGACCTTTATGTGGCGTGTTAGAAGTTCTGAACTAGCAACAGGCCATCTCGTAATTGATACAGCTATGGAACGTATTCGCCTTACATTGCTTAAACTGATTTTAACATTTCTAAATTGTTGAAGTCGTTGCTTGAACTAAAGCGAGATAGAATGTCGATACAGGTACATTCGAAACAATAAAACAATCATTTATCTCAGATGTGACATGATGGCGACTTGATCCATGCCTTCTTGAGAAACCTACAGTATCGACGGAAGACTCTTCGGACAGTTCTTCTGGGAATATAGGAGAATATGCTATATCATATAGCACACTACGTTTGATTGCTTCCATCTTCCAACAATGCTATTATTCCATTATCGCTTAAAACCATCACTCAACCAAATTTGAAACTTAAAACTGGTAAAACTTAAAAAATCAAACCACCGGAAACCCTACAAAGAAGAGATTGACAATTCAAAGATTATTTACACAATCCAATTGTAAACGCAAGTGGTAGAGTTTATCAGGGTTTCATTTACTCCTAATCTTTTAAAACGTACCCAATATAAATGTAAGATAATCGATGGAGAATTGCCTATCAGATAATGAAAAATATTAAAGGTAGCCACTTTTCTGCCTGACAGCCAAGATTATTGTCTCACAAAAAGAATATATTATACTCCCATAAAAGCTCCTACCATTCTTTACCCCAAGACTCTTGAAGGATCTCACCCATTCTCACTAAACTAGGCTTTCCAGTATTTGTACAAAAGTTGCGGTCACACAAGAGATATTTTGGAAAATCTTGTTTTACTAAAATCCCTCTTCTGATAAGAACCCTCGAAAGTGCGTGAAACCTCGCCAACTCCACCATCGTGAGTATGGCATGGTTTAAGTCTTGGCAGTCTTTTCTCGGCGGCACTCTGTAGTTCGTTTCCTGTTTACGTAAAAAGGTGATTAGGTTTAGATGTGAGGAATTGATTCAGTAATGTTAATAAGTTGTCATTTATAAAGAATACCGCAAGATCTTCAAAAATAATCGTTCGGTATGGTCGGTAGCCAATCAAGTCTGGCCAAAGTTTTTCACTTTTGTAGTCCGTTTCACTCAACAGATTTTCCATTTCTTTCAGCACCGTCTTAAATATCTGTTTAAAAAAAGGAAGAGTCATAAAAATAAAAACTTTATGAGCTTTCTACGAACCTGAATCTCTCTGCGAAAAACACCCATATCGGTAACCATCTGCTGTTTTTCGTCTCCGTCAGGAAAATCTTTAATGATCAGCGAAATGTGGGATTTCCGTCCGGACTTCATCAGAACATGAAGCTTCACTCTCATCACATTGCTAAGATAATTTTCTCCTTCTGGAACAGCCGGTTTGCTGTCCAAACTGAGGATACGTGACACTAAGTTGTTGCTTACCTCTCGCTGCAAAATCACTGTTAAAAAATCCTTGTCCATTTCTATTTGGCGATCTATATGAAAGAAATAAAGATAACATTACGAAAGTTGATTACATGTTATTTTTTATGATGTATGTTTGTTCGGCAATCTATAAACAAAATGGGAAACGTCTTGTTTGAAGATAAATAACTTAAAATTTAAAACAACTTGTTTTTAACCAGCCTTAATCTTAAAAAACTAGACATTTTCCGTGTATACCTTTGTCACCATGACTCAGTACATTTTTGATTTTTTGCATCTTGATAATGATTAGGTGAATGCAAATAATTGTTCCATAATTATTTTGTTTTGAGAAATAGAGAGGAAATTTTGTTTTTTAAAGCTGGTGTTCTAATCGAAAATTTTGTCCATTTCGTCAATACATTTCGCAAATTGTCAATAATGTACGCAAATGCTTAGGAAACAAGTCATTATTTTACAAAGGAATTAACCTTTTGAAAAATGTATATTTAAATAATTGAAAAAATTTTAAACTTACATATGCAGATTCAATAAAAAGGCCAAAATGATATTTCAGGATGTTTTCTGCACGACTACCAAACGGATTCTGAGAGGTTGGAATTAAGAATCACGCAATTGAAATGAACGACTGCAAGGCCACTAAATACTTGACCACCCTATTATCAATGATAGGAGCAGACGTGAAGTAATACATATCATAAATGTAATTATTTCCCTGCGTAATTACCATTCGGGAGTTCATTTTCTTTTTGAAATCCTTACTGACATAGGTGAATTAACCATAGACCTGATGTTCATAAAATCGTCATAGCGAATTTCTCAGTAATCATCATTAGAAGAGGACGTGCAAGAGAGAGATAGGGAGTGAGACAGACGCTCAATCCTGCATCATTTTTTTTATTCGATGTACTTTGTTTCACTTAAAACTGCATAACTCTTCTAAATTTTATTCAAATTCGATGCTTTCAAATTCGATAGAATTCCCGATGTCTTCGCTTTCATATTAAATAAAAAAACACTGACACTTCCTTTTTTTACCTTATCTAAAAACATTAATTAATGGAAAAATATTAATTGTTCAAGTGGGCTCCGAAAACTAGTGAATTTAATAAGTAAAAAAGAGGTATACTGCCATTAAAGCTCTCCGTGGCCATTTCACTTATCGCAGAGAATCAAATGGATAACACGACATTTCAAAAATGGCAAAAAGGAGGGAAAATTCAAAAGGTTGGGTTGAAATGGGAAGTTAGTGTCCGAGTGGATTTAGGTCACGAGAGCCCAAGTGGTAGAGCAGCGGCGTATCTAGCCGAAGGTAGCGGGTTCGAATCCCGCTCGTGATACTGACTTTTTATGTCAATTATAAACCTTAATTAATTGAAAGATATTGGTCAAGCGGACCACAAAAACTAGTGGAATTAAATCAAAAATTTTAAATTTTATGTATATGTTTATTGAGTTAAGCAAATTCTTTTCGAATAATCACTACATAATATATCTTGAATAATATCTCTATATAATAATATATTAATAAATAATAAATAAATCTGATTTTAAAAGTTGACAAAAATTGACACCGTCACTTGAAATTTGCCGGAAAAAGGTAACATTTAGAATGACTAATGAAGAAAAAGCCGTTTGATGTGAAATCCCTTATGGAAATAGCAAGAGCGGTCTAATTTTCCCAATGCAGTTCGCCAAGGGGTGCATTTTGTTTTATTTACCTACAGTCTTCAATCGGTTTTAATAAAAATTCAATATAAATAAAAAGTTCCAATTGAAGAGGAAATTTATCAAAATACTCACGAATAAACCACCGTGACTCTATTCACTGACGCTAAAATTTCAATAAAAAACATGGTTAAAATTGGCAGAGAAATTTTCATGTATGAAGAGCACTGCCGATGGGTGGCCCTCGGAGGATCTGACGCGTAGAAGAAGAGCCATCCTGACGTGATTAAATATAGACAATGCGAGGTTTACACACGGATACCAACTTTCGGGTTAAAGCCATCATATATGTCCTTCAAGCAGAGACACGTTACTGAACATGTCCCACCTAATAGAAGGGTGCCACTCCTTGGCTCTATATAGGGAGCGTGTGGTTCCCCATTGAGAATAGTGTTTGAGTACGGTAGCGAGTATTTGTCCCTCTGTTCCAATTATCGGAGGAAACTGAAGTTTTATTTTATATAGTACTTTATGTATAGCACGTTTTGCGTATTTTTTTGTGTACATAGGGGCAGAATGTATTTATTAGAATGTTTAGTGTGAGGTCGGACGGCGAGATATTGGATTTGTTATTTAATATGAATGGAGGGCGATGGAGGAAGATCACGTATTCTACTTCACTAATTGAATATAAATAAGAAAGAATTTATTTAAGAGTGAGTGATAGCGTGAATAGGTTTGAATCTGGAGACTGATTGGGTTGAGGGTTGGAATGACCTGGCTGTTGATAGCCCCCATAGCCTAGAGAAATAAGAACAGTGGTGAAAAATTATACTAAAAACCACTTGCAGAAAGAATACATTAATAAATAGGGAAGTTACAAATAATTACATATATTATAAATTAAAAATCATAAGTCATTGACTACATATGTACAATAGATAAGTTTGATAAACAACACATTTCTTTAAAATTAGCTAATTTCATAAATAAGTTAATAAATAATTACTAATTATTATAAGTTAAAATCATCGAATAGACTTGTACAATACATATTCAGACATTTACTAATTTGGTAAATAAATAAATACATATATAAAAAGTAAAATTAACCATTTAATAAATAATTTAATAAATAATATCACAGTGTGTTCATATTAATTCATACGTGGCTATATCTGTCATGTGTGATGTTTATAAAATTAGAAAAATGCAGTTAGAATACCGCAAGTACAAGTTGTCATAGTGATTTGTTTGGAACGTCGTTTCGCTAATCTAGCCCCGATGGCTATAAATTCAGAGCGGAAGGCTTAATTTTCCGACTAGGACACTGATAGTTGGGCTAGGATAATGGGCATGTCTCTTGTGATCCCAATGTACGTCTGGAATAAGAGCCATATACAACAGCGAAACTTTGGAACTATTCCCGATATGGCTAAACTTGCGCCACTTCTATAAGCACCCTCAATCCAAATGAACGGCTTGCATAATAATTCAACTTAACTTGTTGAAATGTTAATTGTGAACGGTAAGCAGTAAGCGGTGAGAAAATTGTCGTATTATCAATTATTTAATATTGTGTCTATATATTTAGGTTCAAGGTTTTTTTGCTAATTTAGTGTCATAACAATAATGAAATATTATTACAATTCTTTTTTGCTTGTTTTTATCTTTGTTTTAAATTTATTATACAGTGAGAGCATATAAAATGCTCTATCCATATAATTGGCAAAATCAGAATTTATTTCTTTTTTCAAGTAAATGTATTAACAATGGATATCAGATTGTACGGGAGGCCCCACTTCGGAGCAGATAGGAGCTAGAATCATCATTATCAGGGAGGTTTTATGGTTTTTATGAATTCAACATTATCACACGCAGCCAGACAAATACACAACAGTTCAGGAGAAAAATAAGAAGCAAAATATATTTTCNTAAATTGATGTGTCATATAAAAATAATTTAATTGCCAACAATTTTATTACATCTACACACAATTCAATTTCGAAACAATATATTTCCAGTGGTTAGTAATTAATAAGGAATCGGAAACTATTCAAAATGGTTACATTTATTGTAATATAAATTACTCTTAAAATTATATTTTACAAATAGAATAACATATTTAAATTTCAAAGTTTTCATAAATTTACTTATTCGGCGATTGTTACGTTTTATCACTATTTACTAAAATTATTTATTGTACTTTTATGTGCATGGTGCATATTAAATACATAAGAAAATAATACTGATAAATACAATGTTTTTGAATAACTTGTTAAAAAGCGCTTTTACAATGAATTGGTGAAACTATCTTTAATAAAGCATACTTTTGGCGCGCGTTATTTAGCAAAATGTAATAATAAAAAATATAAAAATATTATAATATTATCGTTATAATCATCAAATCCTATTAGTAACTAAAGAGGATTTATATTATTTAACAATGAAAAAAGTGTTTGTTTTGCGTGTGGGTGCTGTAATTTTTTTAGAGTTTTCCTACGGATTTGCTTGTATAAGCGTGTAATGAGAATTAAGGTGTGCTAGCTAGTTCGCCACATCAACCGTAAGAATCACTTATTGTCAATCGACGGACTATTTTGGACATACATATTCAAAGAATGAATCAGCAATTATCTGGATAACCTTTTTTCAGTTATATAATTCCATTTTCAGCAAATTGTCTAATGTCTGCGCCCACTCTAGCTTTGAATCGTTCGCTGAGAAAACATTCTTCTTTTGGTGCCACTGTTTGCTCAGATGACAAGCTTTTATCAAGGTCATACGCATCATCTGATTCGTATGTCATTATAGGATGGAGAAAACACATAATCATGACTCTAAAAGCTTTAATCCGTTCCATTTCTGCGTAAATTTCTTGGAAGGAAGGTATTTCCTTCTCGTCTACACCGAACCTCACCAACTCCGATTTAAGACTATCAGCGTATCTTCTGAGAAGTGTACCATTGTTTTTCCTCCTCACGTCGGGCTCGACGCTTGAATACAAATAGTAGGTCAAATCCCAGGCGAACGAGTTAATGTGGCACAATTGGTAATCTACAAATCTATAAAAAAAAATGTAAACAATCAATTTCAATTATTTAACTTTTCAAACGTACTTGAGAGCAATCGGTTTGTCTTCGTAGACGCTGTACTTGAACATCATGTTGCACGTCCAAAGATCCCCATGGTTGAGAACGTAAAACTTCTTATCGCAATTTTCATTATCATTTATTAAATCATTTATTATTTTTTCTGGACAATTAACCAATCTTTTACCTAAATCTTCCCTGGAAGGATAATGATAAAGGAAAATCTCAAATAAAACATTTTAATTAATTAAATATTACAAATATGCCAAGTTAAAGAGTGAATTGAATTAGTTTTTTGTCCGTAAATGTATATTTGGTTAACAAATACCGCATAACATACATTTGTCAATAGAAAAACTTAAAGAATTAAAAAATTCTCTTTCATTTTGTTACATTGGCGTCCGTTTTCAGATTGTAGTTAAAGAAAGATATAAAAAAAAATTAAATTATACCTCCTTTTTTTAAAGGTATGTAATTTTTGTAAATTGGTTTTCAAGTGGTTCTACAGGTAGGGTATCAATACTTTTTTCTCAAATAAATCTCAGAGAAAACTGGCAAACGATGTGTCGCTGTCGAGATACAGAGTCATAGTAAGAAAATTTTACAAGGGTTGGTAGTTAATCCACTTTCTCCTCTACCGTAAACGTACCACTTAATAGGATATACATTTAATTAAATTTCTGAAATTGGTTAAATTTACGAGCTTCATACATAATATCCAAAAGAATAATATGGGAGAGAAACGAATTTTACTTCCTATAGAATGAATCGAAAAATTGGTTTTATATAAA